ATTTTATAATTTGTAATAAAATATTATTACTCAAATATTTTCCAGTTGAGCATAAACAGAAACATGCACTACTCTTCAAAAGTTTGTGGTTGGTAAGATTTTCATGTTTTGAAGTGAAGTGAAGTGAAGTGACATGTGGCCAAGTATGGTGACCCATACTAGGAATTAGTGCTCTGCATTTATCCCATCCAAAGTGCACACACACAGCAGTGAACACACACCGTGAACACACACCCGGAGCAGTGGGCAGCCATTTTTTGCTGCGGCGCCCGGAGAGCAGTTGCAGTTGCACTTGCTCAAGGGCACCTCAGTCATGGTATTGAAGGTGGGAGAGAGCGCTGTACATTCACTCCCCCCACCTACAATCCCTGCCGGTACAAGACTCGAACCCACAACCTTTGGGTTACGAGTCCGACTCTCTAACCATTAGGCCATGACTTCCCCTTGGAAAGAAGTCTCTATGTTCACCAAGGCAGCATTTACTTGATCAAAACATTTATTTAATCAAATCGATACAGTAACATTGCCAAATATTGTTATAATTTAAAATAACCGATATCTATTTGAATTTATTTTCAAATGTAATTTATTCTTGTGATAGCAAATCAATCTAATATGCCGATTTGGTGCTCAAGAATCATTTCTTATTATTATTTTCAGTGTTAAAAACCATTGTGCTGTTGTGTGATAAATTTTTTCAGGATTCTTTTTCATTAATAGAAAGTTAAAAAGTACAGCACTCACTTGAAATAGAACTGTTTTGAATTATGAATATATTTACTATGTATATTAATTAATCCTGGAAATCACAATTTCCTCAAACTTCCTGGTTTTCCATGGCCATGGGTGTCCTGCATTTCATTAAATGTGGACATCAAAAGTGAAACTAAGTTGCTTCAGTGGTTTAAGTGTGCTGGTAAAGTGAAAACTGATTTCTGGTTTGTTCATTAGGCCAATGGACTGGCATGTGTTTATTCTCACACAGAATAGCCTAGTTGAGAGCAGTATGACGCATGATGGTTTGTCATTACAAGGTTGAGTCATGCATACTGAAAGGCTACAAATGTGGGTAAAGCCAAGGTCACTGCAGTACTGCGAGAACATGATGACAGAGTCAGAAATGGCCTTTAAAGATACATTCACTGCAAAGGCACATAAACACACAGTAAATTCTCTAATTTTGTCTGAGTAATTTCTATTTGAAATTTTCACTGTAATGTGACATAAGGTCATATATTTGAGGCTGCAAAGTAGATAGGCACACTAATTATAACAATAAGTTAGGGTGTACTTAAAGGTGGGGTAAGCGATTTCTAGTAGCCAATGTTGACATTTGAAATCACCAAAACAAACACGCCCCTACCCCAAAAGGGTCTCGCCCCTATTTTGATAGCTCCGCCCCACACATACGTACGCAACCCAGGCAACGATTAGTTCTGTGAAACAAAGCAAAACCAATGTTACACCGTGTCTGCACCGGACGCAAGTGGCGCGGCGTGACAAAATACTATAGAACTCATTATAATCAGTGATGCCGTCTACACCATAGATATATATACATATCTATGGTCTACACTGGATGCGGCGCGACAAATCCCCGACAGAAAACTGCTGCTGTGCTCTATTCATGACGTATTGACACAAATTTCAAATGATTTTCAACGGTTGCTTTGTCGCGCCCAGTGTACTAGACAGACTTTAGCTGTTGCGGCGCAGCGCGAGACACGGTGTTACTCACCTATCGAGAAGAAACAAAGCAACCTCGGCGTCCGATCGCAGGCCTTCCGCTCCTTGAGTTCTCTCCAGTGCTGGAAAGCTGATCCAATATTTACACGGGTCCTACTTATTGCCTTAAGCCTTCTTTTGTTCCGCAGACGTTTTCCTCTTTTGTTTTTTATCCGCCATCTCTATCTTTCTGTCGCTCGGCTCGCTAATGTCCTGTGCACTGAACGCTCTCTCCTCCACATCATGAGTAGACACGCCCCTTACTGCTGATTGGCTACAAGTTTGTTTTGCTAGTCGGCCCGAATCAGTTTTCTAAAGCGTTTTTGAAAAATCGCTAACCCCACCTTTAAGCACGACACAAGAATAAACGACACGTTCACCAAATAACAGTCCATTAGCCAAATTGTAGACTGTTTATGGTTGTCAAGCTAATATGCATTCATATTTACAACAGCTAAAAGCTAAGTTTGACTCATTCTATGAATATAAACAAATTCATGCTTTATGTAGACTTCATGATCAAAAGGAGTTTAAACACAGGGGCAATCTGATTCTGTATCAGTACTTTAAAGGAATAGTTCACCCAAAAACTTGTTCACCAATGGATTCTCTGCAGTGAATGGGTGCCGTCAGAATGAGAGTTTAAACAGCTGATAAAAACACCACAAAAATCCACAAGCTGCATGTTTGTAAAAAACAAATCCATTGAAACTTTTTTAACTTTAGACCATTGGTTCCAACTGAAGTCCATAATCCATAAAATTGCTTTCTCCAATGAAAAAGCAATCTCGGCTAAATCAAAAGAGAAATCCACACAGATGAAGCACCGTTTACAAGTGAAAACATGTCCAGAACAGTTTTAAACAAATATGTTGGTGGATTTTGATCTTAGTGGACAACAGGAAAAAGCATATATGGATAATGGACTCATCGGTTTGAAGTTCAAAATGTTTTAATGATGAATTTATTTAACAGCTTTTTGTTTCGCAACACATTTAATTGACTGGAGTTGTATACATTGCTTGTGGATTACTGTGATTTTTGTGATGGCACCCATTCACTGCAGAGGAGCTAATGGTGAGCAAGAAAAGAAATGCTAAATTTCTCCAAATCTGTTCCAATTAAGAAACAAATGCATCTACATTTTGGATGACCTGAACATTTTCATTTTTGGGTCAACTATTCCTGTAAGTATAAAAAGAACAACATTTAAAAGAGCACATCCTGGATCTCTTCAAAGAAAAACGTCAATTTTTATTCATAGTATCACCTCCTCACCCCTACAAAAAGCTCTACATTCTGCACAATGTTTAACTAAATAAAGAGAAAAAATTGCATCTACATGGAATAAATGAACTAGTGGTCGACCGATATATCGGCCAATATTTGGCATTTTTAAAATATCGGCATCGGTCGATTAAGTTTTCCTGTTTGGCCAATGCGTTCTAGGCAGGACTTTTATTTTGACGACGCTGAAAACAGCAGCGCCTGAGCACACATTGCTCACATTCTCCCTCTTGTTCGCCGTTGTCGTTAACAGTTCTGTCTAATACAGATAGAAGTCATCCCACTGCACACAAACTTCCCAGAATACTGAGTGCCCTGTTGATTACAGTGTTTACTTCCTTTTTTTATTATATTTTTATTAAATATTTATTTATTTGTGAAAAATACTTTGTCATCTAAAGTATAAGTATGTTTATTTAACACATTTACTTTTTAATCCATTTTCAAATGATTTCAAATTTCTTAAACATTAATTAAAACAAAAAAATGTATATCGGCCACCCTAATTTTCAAGATATTGGCATTGGCTGTCAAAAAAACAATTTCGGTCAACCACTAATATGAACTACTTCAGATCTGAACACTCGACACAAGCTGCTATGCTGGTTAAATTATTCTCCACACTTCGAGTAAATAAAAGGGGCTTGGCAGGGCAATTCAACTGCAAACAAATTGAGGCCTGCAAATGCGACTGTGGCTCATGGTGGACGTGGTTGCTAGGTTACGCAAGAATAGACTCGGCTGAGGAAATATCACCACAGAGATAAAAAACCTTCTACTCAATGCTTATTGATCTGCAGCAGAGTGCTATCGTACAGATTGTTTACCAATATACACTCAAGGATGTAGTTACCGTTACCACCGTGATATGTGAAGATCTTAAAACCTCTCCTGTGTGGAGCACCACACTGCAAGGCCACTTGCACAACCCCAGACCCTGTCACATGTAATCGCTTCTTCACACTACTTCCTTTCGCTCGTCCCTCTCTCTAAGTCACAAGCATCATCACACATCCTTCCACTTGTGACTTCCCTTTACAAAATCATCAGCACCTTGTTACTTGTCAATTTAATCACAGCCATGGCACTACAGGATCTACCAATGTCAAACCCTTCTGGCATTCCTAACGTAACATATTTAAAGACGCAATACACCCCCAAAATTTGAATTTGCTCATTGCAAGATTATGAACATGTCAAGAGCTATTTGTTTGTGTCAGTGTAATATCAACACAAGGAAGAGCAGAAACTGTGCAAAAATGTTAATTGGTTCTCTCACATATATCAAGACATGCCAGGTTTGAAAGTGTGTATGATGAGTGAGATCAGATAATTTTTTTTTTCTTCAGTGTATGATATTTCAGACTGCTTATGTTTCAATGTAAACTCCATATGATGTTATCTTGATATTGGAAATATGCACATGATGGGTGATGAGATGCACAAACAAAATTCCACATGGGCAGCAAATGTGACCATGCATCAATCTCACTAATGACTAGAGACATTTTTTTTTTACATTTGCATTGAATATACGTTGATCAGTATTACATTGATTATCATTGACTACCCAGTGTCAGTGTATATTAACAATAACAGTAGCCATATTTAAATTATTTTTGGATATTGATAGTAATTTCAAACAAATGCTTTTGGATTTCGACGCAGTGAGTGCAGAATGTTGGGTTTCTGTCAAGAATCACTAGAATATTTTTGTGTGTGCGCGTTACACACATTAACTCAAAGGAATAAACAAAAATGGAGATAGTAGTAGCATTTGTAAACAGAGAAGCAGAATATTGCCAGTTGTGATAGCATCTTCTGGCAGCGCCACAGTGTTTGACACTTACACATCTACTGTAAGATATTACAAAACATTGCAGTCAATAGGCATCGCTTCCATGCACAAGTATTATCTTGCTGAATCTCAGGGTAACATTACACATCTGCATACTTCACAGAAAAGAAAAAAAGAAGGCTGTTCTCACCGTTGTGCGGACTTGGCAGCACCGGGTCTCTGGTTGAGCCGCTGGCTACAGCAGTCCACCATGCGCTTGAGGATGTACAGACACTCCCTGAATGTAGAAAAGAAGGGGTAGTGGCTCAGAATGCACAGAGAGGTTAACGTGCTGTTCTGGTTCTGTGGTGCCAGTCGACCACTGCATTTGGATCGTGGAGACTTTCCACTGCTGCCCGGCTCGCCTGGTGGCAAAGTCCCATCTCCTGCAGGGGGCAGTGTAGATTCCCCTGGAAGAGTCAATGTGGAAGGGTCAGATTTCTCTGTGGCCTCCACTGCAGAGTCTGTATGAGGGGCCTTTTCTCCTGTATAAAGAAAATATTAAGGAGAAATTACAGCCATAAGTATTCCATTTCAATAAAACTTTAATCAAAATTTTTAGAAATTCTGTTTTTATGATTTAATACAAATTTATTTTCAAAAACAGTGGTAATCAATTAAATGCAAACAACTTTAACAATTTAATTACTCTTTTAAAATACCATTAATTTACTACATTAACAGAAACACACAGAACATTAAGACTTCATACTTAAATACATTAATCTTTTTGCAGATTAATATTCACAGACATTACTGCATATCACAAAACTTTTGATGTATTCATCTACATTTTTGCAAATTCCGTGATATTCCATGTCATACGTGAAAATGGTTCTGCCTCATAAAACTGTTCCAAAATGACCTCTTACCTTTTCCTTCAGATCGCGGGCGGTGGTGGCCCTTCTGGAAAGAGCGGTAAAAGTTGAGGCAGATTCCATAGCGAGTGATACCCGAGTCTTTGTCGGTGAGAGTGAAGACGAAAGAGGTGTCGTCACGAAGGCTGACCCGGCGCTGGCGGATGCTCAGGCAGCCCTCAGGCTGGCAGAAGAAGACGACGTCAGGGGCCAGAGGGAAGTCATTGTGGTCCTCCAGTGGATAGCGCCTCAGCAGCTGAGGTGTTTGTGCCACGCTGTCGCTGCTGGGTTGCCTGATTAAGGGAAAAAGACTGAAGTGAGAGACAGGAAGACAGATCTCTGGCTTTTCTCAGCCCCAGCGCTTGTTCTTTTATGCACTTTGTGTGAAGTATTGTGCAATGGCTATATATACACACTACTGTTCAAAAGTTTGGGGAATGGTTTTTTTTTTTAAGAAACTAATACTTTTATTAAGAATGCATTAAAGGGTTAGTTCACCCAAAAATGAAAATTCTGTCATCAATTACTCACCCTCATGTCGTTTCAAACCCGTAAGACCTTCGTTCATCTTCGGAACACAAATTAAGATATTTCTGATGGAATCTGAGAGCTGTCTGACCCCCCCATAGACAGCAATGCTACTGAAATGTTCCCAAGTCCAGAAACGTAGCAAGGAGATCTGTAAAATAATCCATGTGACACTAGGGGTTCATCCGCAATTATACGAAGCCGTATATCACGCCGGATCGGTTTCCTACGTTGTTGTGGTCTGATCTGATCTGAATGGAAACAGCATATCCGTGTGATGCAGCTGACACAGAACAGCATACACTGTTTACGTCCAGCTGATACTCTCCAAAATGGTGCTACAGTGCGACGCGGAGCAGACGAATTGTTGAATAAAGTCGTTTATTTTTTTCTTTTGCACACAAAAAGTATTCTCGTAGCTTTGTATATTTGCGGTTGAACCACTGATGTCACATTGTTATTTTACTGAACTCTGTAAGAAATTATAGTCTGCCTCGACCAAACTTCCACTCTAAGTAAACAATTCTCCTTTCTCTACAAAGAGCTTAATTATCATAGAGATAATTCTTTCCGATCTCAATAATATGTAAATAGTATCTCCTGAACGTTACTTCGTCAGTCGTCACCTATAGCATGGGAGCGGCAGTAGGGCATCAAGAACCATCTGCTGACCAAAAGGGTACTTGAATATAATTGCTCCTTAACATTTGGTTGTTTCCACCTGAAAGACTACCAAAAGATGTGGGAACGGAAGGCTATCACTTTCATTGTTATCCGCAATTTACATTTAAGATGAAACTTCATTTACATGCGGGAAGATGAACGTAATAGAGTATAAAATGTTTGAGCTTAGGATGTTCGTGATTCATTCTGACTCCACTGAATCCGAAGTGCTGCCTGTACTTTGTCACTGCTATTCTGTAATAAAAGTTCTTCTTCATCAAGATCTTCGACGTCTTCACTTTTTCTTACAACTCCTTGCTACGTTTCTGTACTTGGGAACTTTTCAGTTGTATTGCTGTCTATGGGAGGGTCAGACAGCTCTCAGATTCCATCAGAAATATCTTCATTTGTGTTCCGAAGATGAACAAAGGTCTTACGGGTTTGAAACGACATGAGGGTGAGTAATTAATGACAGAATTTTCATTTTTGGGTGAATTAACCCTTTAAATTTATCAAAACTAACAGTAAAGACATATACAGTGCACAGCATAAATGAGTACACCCCCTCTGAATAAATATAAAAGATGTATTTCCTTAATGATCACTAATACAATTAATATGATTCATGGAAAGATTGCAAAATTGAAACATATTAAACATATACTTAATAAAAACAACAAAATATATGCCAATATTTTCTGTAAGATAAGTCAATTAGCCAATTTTGTTTAAATGAAGGATTGCAGAAATGAGTACACCCTAGATTTAATTCAGAAAATGTATAATATTCTAGTACTTAGTATGTCCTCCAGAACTTAAAGTATACTGCTCTGACCCTTCTTGGCACTGAGTGTACAAGATCATGACAAATTTTCACATCTGTGTTGTTTAACTCCTGGAGGACGACCTCCTTAAATGCTTGTCTCTACAGAATCCCCCACAGCAGCTCAAGAGTGTTAAGATTGAGTGAAATACATGTCCACTGAAGGATTTTCACCTTGGGAGAATGAATATATTCATTGTCATGCTGAAAAAATGCCAAATAATGCAGGGAATGAGGGGAGGGTAGCATCTTCTGTTTCAAGTTTTTGTATTACATCACACAGAGGTGTGTGAATTCTAGTGCTGTGTATCACCAGCAAAGTCACGATACGATACAGAGGCCACAATACGATACATATCACGCTACGGGACTGCATTGAATTTCACCTCAGTGAAAGTTTAGTAAAGCAGCTGTTTAATAAACACTGCATACCATAGTGCCATTTTAACTATTGGCAGAGCAGGCAGTTGACCTTTGCATTATGAAGGGCCTCCATAACTGTACCACAGTACAATCAATATAGGGTGTGGCATATGTTTCATATTTACATTGGGCACTCCCCACCAGGTACAATATTCTGATTGTTTGCATCTTGTTTTTAAGCCCATAAATAATGATGTACTCGTTCTAATAAATTTATATTGTAATGTACTCATTCTAATATATTTTTAAAAAATCATATTTACATTGCTGGTAGATTATCATTGCACAAATTAACACACTCTCTACGTTTAAAAAAAAAAAAATTAGGAGAGTTCTAAACTAATGCGCCATCTTCTGTATCTAACGCACACACGCTCAGTCACTCACACAGATCACGTTGCGGCCGAACTCAGACATTCAAGAACAAACTTTTTAGCGCTGCCCCGCAGTTTTATCAACTACATAGCTTAATCGCTCAAGAGCTACATTATCTTTCTCAACAAGGAGCTGGTAGCATCATTGTTTCTAAAGAGACCAGAGTATGGATTCCCAGAAGTCTCTATTTTGTAAATATGGGCCCTGGAAGAGGTTAAATTAGTTTATTTTGCTTTGCTAGGCTACAGTGGGTAATTCTAGTGGTGACAACAACCATGCATGTCACTTCTGCAGGCTGCGTCATACTCTGTGAGATAAAGTGTCACTCTTTTCATAGCTTTTGCAGGCTCTGAGACACTTGCGTGTTATTTCTCCTGCTCTTTTCTAGCAAAAATTCACTCATCACTAATGAAAACTTAAAGTGAAGACCTGATTATTTCAGGATCCTTATCACAAGTCAACAATAATTTGGAATTCCTCTTGTACCATTGTCCTCTTTTATGCTAAGAAATAAGTCACCTGGCAGTTCTCTCCCAAGTGGTTCCACTGCTGCCAGTATTAGGTCTGAGTATGATTCAGTGGGCTATATAACACTTTTAATTGTCAGGAAATTACTCGTCTTTAAAAGTTTTGGTTCAATATACTTACCTGTTGATCAAAAATAGCCTTAAACCTATACACTTTTTTATTTTTATTTTTATTTAGTAACTTTCAGGAGGGTGTACTAATTTTTGCAACACAAAATTGTATCACTTTGATAAGAAAATCTTATTTTGCTGAATAATTTTGGCATTCTTCTTTGGTAATTGATCAAGCAGGCTTGTTGGAACATTACATCTCCAAAGAACCCTAACATGTCTTCTAAGTAAAGAGTAACTGCTGAATTTGTTAAGTTTTAGAGGGGGTGTACTCATTTATGCTGTGCACTGTATTATTACAAACTATTTCTATTTCAAATAAATGCTGTTCTTTTAAACTTTTTATTCACCAGAGAATCCTGAAAAAAAGTAACATGGTTTCTACAAAAATATTAAGCATCACAACTGTTTTCAACATTGATAATAAGAATCATGTCACACTTAAGACTGGAATGATGGCTGTAGAAAATTCAGCTTTGCCATGAAATTAAAATAATTTTACATCTTTATATTCTTACTTCTGGAATGTTTCTATTATTTACTTTTTAACTTTTTTAAATGATCTCGTTCTAATTATAAATGTTCTTTAATTCAATATTTAATAGTTTTATTCAATATTTCTATAACAATCTCACAAACTCCTTGCAGCTCCCTTACAAACACCTGTTTGGAAAACACAGGGAGTGGGGAACCGCAATGAAGTTTGAGAAGGGCTGCTCCACAAACATACAGTGGGTACGGAAAGTATTCAGACCCCCTTAAATTTTTCACTCTTTGTTATATTGCAGCCATTTGCTAAAATCATTTAAGTTAATTTTTTTTCCTCATTAATGTACACACAGCACCCCATATTGACAGAAAAACACAGAATTGTTGACATTTTTGCAGATTTATTAAAAAAGAAAAACTGAAATAACACATGGTCCTAAGTATTCAGACCCTTTGCTCAGTATTTAGTAGAAGCACCCTTTTGATCGAATACAGCCATGAGTCTTTTTGGGAAAGAGGCAACAAGTTTTTCACACCTGGATTTAGGGATCCTCTGCCATTCCTCCTTGCAGAGCCTCTCCAGTTCTGTCAGGTTGGATGGTAAACGTTGGTGGACAGCCATTTTTAGGTCTCTCCAGATCCACCTTTTCTTATTCATTCATTGTATTGGGATCTGCTGTCAACACTACACCAGACTTCATCATGCATCATAACATACAATCCCATTTAACATTAACAGACAGCGTACACCTGAGGCTGGACGCTTGGAATATACCTGCACAGGTCACATACAAACAAAACACACAATCAGTTCACCTGTGATTCAATTCTCCTCTCAACGATTTACTTAAGCACCTATAGAACCTATGTCTGAGCCATATTCACACAAGCACGCCCACATACCATTCAACAATCTCCCTTACCTGGCTCCAACTACCACCAGGTAGTCCAGGAGGCGGGGACACGGTTTCTTTTTCTCCATCTCTGTATCAGGAGTGTCTCTAAGTCATGGCAACTGTAGCAACCATCAGCTCTCAGGCAGGCAGTCGTCCAATCAGGTGCAGCAGAACTAAGAGTTGGCTGATCGAGGCAGGCAATGGCCAATCATTGCGGTCTGTGGTGTGCAGAAATGGGGCCTGTGAAGGAGTAACAGCGAATATTATAGAAGTAATCCATCACAATGCAAGCGCTCTGCAGTGAAATTAAGCCTTCTGCACTACCGCAAAGCTTGAAGGTGCAGCTAGTGATTCAATTAATCAATCAATCAATCAATCAATCACTTTGCATGTCAAAGGGGAGCTCAATATGCAGTTTTCAGCTGTTATTTTTCTATTTGCAATATTACAATGGTATCCTCAAAGGGCGAGGCCTGATGATTATTTTTACACATTGCTGTGCAATCTAATACTTTTTTAATATTGACCAAGCACCATTTCATTTAAATGTCCACTTAATCTTTAATATTTGGCCATTTCTTTAGGACAGAAATGCTATAGCCACTGTAATTAAAATAATATGTGGACATTAAAACGTGTAAACTCCGAGTGAGGGTTTGAGCTTTTATTTTGAAACCGCGATGTATTCTCCTGTGTTTGCGTAGATTTATAAATTATTTATCTTACAAATCTGATGAAATGGCTCATGTTGCATTCCCAGAAGAACGTTATAATAAACCCAAACTCACAACAACATGCAGAGATGGAGTTTGAGATGCTCCACCATAGACTGTACTACACATGTAAATGATAACAGTTCCTGTGGAACTACTGCGAACGGAGCCGCTGTGTGACGCACGTACTTAACCTACACGCATGTAAATAATGAAAGCGCATATACTGTATTAGAACTGCATCGCATATAAATATTTAATTAAATCGTAGCGTTATCCTTAATTATGATTTTTAAATGGGTTTAATATATCATGCAGCCTTGGGAAACAGTCTAATAATGTGATTTATGGATTCTCATCTGTGAAATGCGCCACTTCCGGTATTTTGCCGGTTAGTCGACGCGAGCAAAATTAAGTCGAGGATTTTAAAAAAATCGAATAGTCGAATAAAATCGACGAATCGCGACAGCCCTTCAAACTGCCGCGCTGCGCGAGCTCACTAGAGCAGATGCGTTTACTCGGTCACTCGAGCACTAAACAACGCTGTGAGATCCAGTGTAAAGCACGAATAGAGCGATGAACTCAAATGACCCTGTGATTTAAACTAGTTTAAAGCCAAACAGGAGAAACGCTGTGTGCAATGAGACAGTCAGAAGGCTTTTCAATCTACACATTGCCATCATTTACCATGGATTTACTGTAGTAACACTCACTGCACCATGGTATTGTGACAGAAATTTGGGATGTTTACACTGAATTTTATTAAAAGAGTAATGGTATATAATTATAGTATGTATTTGTGATTAAGCTGTAGCATGTGTGCATTTATACTGAATGTTTTTAGACTAACGTTACTGTTTTTCATGCAAATAGGCTACTTAAAAACCATATAGTTATGTTTTTACCATGGTATTGAGGTGTTATATGTGTGGTTTTAACGGTGTTTATCGTTATTTAAATGTATGCTACTATTGGAGACACAATGTTTAATAAAAAATAAAAAAAACCTTGGTCAGAATAAATTTAACCATATAAAAGGTTGCTACAATATTTTTTTTTTTTTTTTTACAGATGTTACTGATTTTGATAATGAACAAAAATTTACCTCAGCATCCTAACTCATACTACTATCAGATGTGCATTTCTAAGAGACAAAAAAGTGATATTATTATTAATATTATCAGGCAACCCAAACCTGTTTCTTGATTTGAAACAATATCACTCATTCGAACATGCAGAAACGAATAAATGTATTTTTCTATTCAGATATTTATTTTGTTAAGGAAAATGAATGGTCTTGTTTCTATAACTTTCACTTTGGAGCAGAAATCTGGCTTTAAACTTAAAAGAAATAAAGATTTGACATTTATCGTTATCGACTGATATGGAAAAAATTATCGTGATAATTTTTTTGGCCATGTCGCCCAGCCCTAGGCAGAATATTAGCGAAAGTGGGTTTCTCCGTTATCTCGCACATGATGCAAGCATGCTCCGGCCCGGAAAGTATAGTGCAAGTGTGAGTGCAGGCCAGCAGGGGAGTGGGGAGGGGGGATAATCACGCTCGGGCTCGGTTCAAGGTAACCGTGCCTAGTGTGAGTACACCCTGAATGTACTGTTCATACTAAACACTGAGGAGGAAGCATAGCGTTCAGTTATAGCTACATAACACTGGAGTATGATTGATATATTTCTGACAGCAATCTTTACAGTCAAACCGAGCACACTGTACAAGCCAAGCATCAGAAATCTTCACAAACACATCTTGACAGGTGGCTCAACTTCAAATGTAAACACACACACACACACACATTCTGATTAGCTAAAGGGATTGGAGCCCAGCTGTGTCCTCACCACATAGATTTGCCATTTGTGTTCCTCATGCGTTAGCACTCATATGCATGAGCACATGCCTCAATGTAAATACAAACGAAAGCATGCTCAAATTTCACACAGGAAAAACACACCTTGCATAATATCCAGCTAGATTGGCTTGGATGCTATCAATTCAACTACTGTTCAGTAAACCTGTTAGATGTTTGTGATTAGAAGAATTGATATATTATCTATATCAAAATGCAACTTACTCAAGCAAGACATTTCTGGATGAATATATTCTGTTATCTAAGCAAATACGGTCTTGAAAGGCTAAAACAGAACAGTAATTATGAAGTGAGAGCCAGATGGCCTTTCACAAGCAGTTGCTTCTGTCTCACTGCAGTGTCTGTGTTTTTTTTTGTACTGACCCAAAACTGGGTCAGTGCTTATCAGAAGTTCTGGATACTCTGCACTGCAGAGAGTTTTCCATCATGCTCTTACACACAGACAGACACCTGCACCCTACATCTGACAAACAACTGCATTACCTTTGCTTCAGAAGCTTAATAGTCTGAAATCATTTCTTTCCATCACAGCACAGAATTAAAAAAGCCTATTTATACTTCTTTACAAATTCATAATTTTTTTTCTGGCATCTGCTAGAATACATTTACATGATTTAAGAAAAAAACTAATTGTGCATATTTTACATTGTGGCGGCATCTCTAATCACTCTGCCCGACACACTCGGTTTTAGTTCTTGTCTCATTAAAGTCCATCTTTGTGAAAAGCCTAACCTGCTCTGATTGGTCCGCAGGCCCCAGTCTGTTGTGATTGGTCAACCGAAAATAAAATGCACCTTATTTAACAGATTTCAGCTCCTGAGGTTTCATTAGCAGCTCTAAACAAGTTTATATCTATGATAACTCAGTTGTTGGCCTTGGAAGTCCAAACAATGTTTTTTTTTTGCCCTTGCAGTAAAAAAAAAATCAGCGTATCCTCAACATCACTTACCAAGCTGATCTGAGGGTGGACCAACCAGTAGGTGTATTATGCAAATGTGTAACAGGGTGATGCAGCCAAGTCATGTAAATAATGGCAGGACTACAGACAAAGCCTTTCAGGCAAGTGTTTTCTGCTGGAGAGATGAAATCCTATTGGCAAGGTCTTTGTGTTTTGTAACTCTGCAGACTGTTTACATGAACAAACAACTATATTACACACTAAAGGAAAGGAATGTTTTTTTAAAAAAAAGCATAACAGGTGCCCTTTAAATAAAACTCATATGCCCTAAAAGCAGAACCCTTCAGAGCTGAGATGGTGTTATGCAATATTACGTAACTGCATATGGCTCACAAAACAGACTTGGGCAATTCAGCAGCATCTCATCAGGGTCAACACTGAGCAGGTACTCCGTCTATAGCAGATCATTTGTCAAGATACATGCACCCCAGCTAAATATATATTTTCAGCTTATTAAAAATAAATAAATAAAGAGAGAGTCAGAAGTGCTCTGCAATGCAGCTCTGCAAATGTGCAAAGAAACTAGCATGACTCGTAAACTAACTAACTAAATATTCTCTGTTGTGGCTGGCAACAGTTAATATTCTTGTCAAACCTATAATTCCTAAGAATTAATTGAACATTCCTCAAAACATGAAGGAAAATGCTGCTATCCTCAAAGTCTATTACACTTAGCCGGATCCTCTGGAACATTTTAATTCTGGAAAGAACAGAAACATATTCATCTTGAACCTTGACTCAAACTGCTTTTGAATGACTAGTCCAGTCAGCAAGTTTGGCCTTGTCCGAAAGGATGTATTAATCTCTGGTGTGAGAGGAGCCGAAGCGTTCACACTGTGATTAGTAGCCTCCTCTTTCTGCTTAAGTGGCACTTTCTGCTCTTCCTCCGTCACTCTCAACAGCTCAGAGAGGAAGAGGAAGAGGTGGTGGAAGGGAGGTGAGAAGATGGATGGTCTGTGACTAAGACATCAATAACGCCTCGGTTTCTTCCTCTAAGCATCACCCGGATCATTTGACACCAGGACCTCCATGCTGTTCTTTTCTTAAAGGGGTCATATGATGCGTGTTACAAAGTGTTACAAGCTCTTGGTGCATAAAGAAGATCTGTAAAGTTACAAAGACTAAAGTCTCAAATCCAAAGAGATATTCTTTATAAAAGTTAAGAGTCAACCACACCTACCTAAAACGACTCGTTCTAACACGCCCCCACATACCTACATCACTATCTGGCAAGATTTGCATAACGCCGCCCAAATGTTCTCGCAAAGAAAGAAGGTGTAACTTATTCTCGCTGTAGTATTGTTGCTGCTGCCGCCCATGTCGTAAAGACGCTGTGTGCTTCGTTGTGAAAGCGAAACTACTTTGTTTGGCCTTCCAAAAGAGGACGATATCGGCTTCGTCATGCCTGGAGCTGATCTGTGCTGGTCGCTGAGGAAATACATCAACTTCACGCTGTGGATCACCAGATCGGCTTTCACCGTGGACGAAGCGGAGTCCAGCCCGGGGTCGTCACATGTGGTTGCCGCAAGCATCACAGTATGATAGGGACGTAACATTTCAGTCACACGCTTGAGGAATTCGGCCAATCACAACACACTGGATAGCTGGCCAATCAGAGCACACCTTGCTTTTCAGAACGATGAGCTTTGTAAAAATCAACTTTTTGTTGAAACAATCCAGAAAGGCGGG